TCCCACAAATTCCATGTGAGGGGCTGTTTACATGTAACATAGTTGTTGAATAAATTATCTTTATCGACTTGAGATTTCATTATTAAGAAGGTGTTTGATATCCATTTTGTTGAAAAATGAATTTTAGAATAATAGATTGATTAGTATGTGGATGAAAAATAACGAAAAGTTTTTTATTTAGGTGTAATATTATTTTAATGAAAAAGGTATGGTTAAAAAAAAAGAGAAAAATGCATTTTGATAAAAATGGGAATCAAACTGACCTAATTATAAAACGAGACAAATAACAAAATCAAAGTGAGCAATTATTATTTCCTAAACCAATAATGGTTATTAGCTTAGTTAAAACTCCTATGTCTGAACTTCATTGATTTTTGTTATTTAGTAATTTGCGAAAGGGTAATTGGCACAAAAACGTCCATACCTTTCAAGTTTATTGTGAAAAACGTTTATACCTTTTATTTTTTGACATTTTTGCCCTTACCTTCCACATTTCTTTGCGCTGAGCATCTTTTTCACTAATTTTTAACGTAAAATGATCAATATACCCTCTTATTTAAATAAAACAAAAAGTAATGAAAAGAATAAATCACACTCTTACACCTAAATGTTTTAAAAAGTGCAAGTGAGTCCAAATAATTATTAAAAAGCCTAATAGCATAAAGTGTCCATACGTTTGGCTTATAGTGTGCAAAACATCTCTACGTTTTAAATTGGTGAAAAATGATGTTATCCGCAATGAAACGTGAAAATAGGAATGAAAAAGTAAAAAAACTGAAACATATGGACATTTTTCGTAAGAATTGTCAAACGTAGGGATTTTTATGCTATTAGACCTTATTAAAATATTAAAAAAAAAACTCTCCCTTTCTCTTCTCTTCTCCAAATGGATCGATCACTTTAGAAGCCAAAAAACTTCAACAAATCACCATCCAAACTGCTGAACCGCCATGCCACCGAAAAGCCCTCACTTCTCTCTGCACATACCACCCAACATCCAAACTTGAAACCTTCATGCAAATAGATTTGTTAGGAATTGCAAGCCTAAATACCTAACTCGCAAATGCAAATACTGGCGGCATCACCTGTTCCGGAGAGACCCATGTTATTTCCAACATACCAATCGACTATATTCACTAGGACACCTCTCTTAATGGTCTTAAAATATTAACAGATGGTTCGGCAGTATGGAGGTTCGACGATCTGGGCGATAGTTGGTTGGAGTTTTTTCATTTCTAACGTGACAGTCCAATTTGGAGAAGAAGAGAAAAGAGTGATATTTTTTTGTTATTTTTAATATTTTAATAAGGTCTAATAGAAAAAAATATCCCTACTTTTGACACTTCTTGCGAAAAACGTTCCTACGTTTTAATTTTTTTGTGTTTTCATTTATATTTTTACGTTTCCTTGTGGAAAACGTCATTTTCATTAATTTGAAACATAGGACGTTTTGCACACTATAGGCCTAACATGGGGACGTTTTGTGCTATTAGACCTTTTAATAATTATTTGGGCTCACTTGTACTTTTTAAAACATTTAGAAGTAAGATTGTAATTTATTTTTTATTTTTCTTTTCTTCTTTTTGGTTTTATTTAAATGGGAGGATATTTTGATCATTTTACACTAAAAAAAGAGTTAAAATGACGTTCAGCGCAAAGAAATCTGGAAGGTAAGGGCGAAAATGTCAAAAATTGAAAAGTAGAAATGTTTTCCACAATAAACTTGAAAAGTAGAAACATTTTGTGCCAATGACCCATTTGCGAAAATATAAATGAAATCCATGTGCAGCACTTTAGTCTACACTACGCCCCTGTTTGTTCCCCATTAAATTAAATTACATTACGTTCCATTTTTCTCTTTCCTATTTTCAACCACACAATCTTCCGTAAAATAATATTACACATAAATCGAAAATTGTTCCTTCTTTTTCAACCACTCATTTTTCTAAAAAAATACTATTCCCTTCATTTTCATTTTCAAGTAATGGGGATCAAACAGGGGCTACATTATGGTGTTGGACATTATGGTGTTGCCAACCCACAAAGTGTAGGTAATTTAAAGGTGGCCAGCTAGGGACCGGATTTGAGGATTCATAAATGGTACACCCGGCTTTTAAATGAGGAAATAGTGGAAGATTTCACAATAGCCTTTGACCAAAAAAATCTCATTAAAAAAATAATAATTTGAAAATGTAAACAATACCCAAAGAGTCGAAAATACCCACAAATAAAAAGAAGAGAAGGGAAAAGAAAGAGAAGAGAAAGAAAAATCTCATCACCGATGCCATCTAAGGACCGTTTTTGTAATTTACTCGCCATCGAGGTCTAACATATGTGAAAATTTGAATGTTTGAGTTTAATACATGAAAATTTGAATGTTTAAGATTTGAATATGTTAAATTATGAGTTTAATAATATTTTTATAGTTAAAATAGAAGGAAGAGTCGAATTTGAGGTTGAATTG